GCCCTCAAGCTGACAATAAAATATTGCATATTTCAAAAAAGAAACAAAGATGAAATAAGGCATAAGGAAATAAGAATTATTAAGTTAAAACTTTAGCAAAGCCTGGGAAATCTCGCGCGATGTTTTCCAAAGAAAGATAAGCCCTGAATTGTTTAACTGTCTGGAGGTAGTGAGTTCCACAGTGTACCTGCAGGCAAAAGAGGTGAAGCATGAGACAATGTATACCATCTTTACTTTAAGAAAGACAATATTTTTAAAATCATACAAGGCTCTGGATAAATGAAATAAACAAATTTAAACAATAGCAACGTAGTATTTGAAAAGTAAGAAGTGGATCTTTTAAGGTAACTGTAGCAAACGGAAGCCAACCAGCATAAAGTACTTTTAGAAGAAATATTTCTCAAGACAGGAGTTTCAAAGAATTTGATGACATTGACTGTATAGAAGTCAATTTATGGTAGTCCAATAAATGTTTCCTATTTTATCTAATGTCTTCCACACTGGTTAAGAGAGATTTACTCTCTCCACTATCTTTTGGAAAGGATATCTTCATGGGTATCTTTGAATAGGGAATTTTATTTTCTGAATTTACTAGGATATTAGAAAGTGCTTAACACAAAGAAATGGTGGAAACAGTTTAGGTTTTCCTTAGGATCCAGGTATGATACATGCACACTAATTTGCATCAAATAAGTGATTTAAAGACAAGTGCTCTGATAGACGAGCACAATTCAAAGCACACTGACAATGTCTCCACGAATGGTGATGAAACATTTGCAACCAGATTGCCAAGGTCCAAGCTCAGCCCATCTGAAATGCAAATTTGGTAAAATCTAGGAATTCCCAACTTTAGTTTGTATTAGTGATTATCTGTTATAGTCACCAGGCTACTAATCTCTTATTGGTCCCTATCAAGGGAATGTCTCTTAATTCTACTTGATGCCATGTTCTAGTGAAGAATATTACATCTATATAACCCCACAAAATTTTGAGTGACAAAGATTAAGAAATGTGTAGTCTTGTGACTACAAATTACAGATGCTCACTGTAATTTGAACATGTATATAGTGAGCAGTTGCCAGGAAACAGAAAGAGAGGCTGTTCAAAGCTAGGATGGAAAGCTAGATAGAGCAGAATTTCTGAAATTCTTTCCAATTTTTAATAATTCTGTTCTAAGTCACAGAATAATTTCAGAATAGGAGTGGAATTAAGGAGATGGAAATATTCCAAATATTACCTAACCATCTCTCCCATAGGGATGCATTGGTAGAATATTTCTGAAAAGTGATCCCATTTTGTCTATTTTTTAGTTAGAGTGCTGCTTAAAAGTTTATGAATCCTTTTGAATTTTAAATATTTCTGAACATACGACCTAAATGTGATATATTCTCTATACATGCCCTAACACTAGATAAAGAGAACACACTTCAGTAGATGGGTCAAAATATTGTACTTGTTCAGTGTGTTTGAGGAATTATGGAGGTGCCTTATATATATATAAGTCTAGCTTTTTTCTGGAGGACAGATCTGTTTTTAATTTTTTTTTCTTTGAAAGAATGATAGCCTTCTCTACATGGAAATTCAGAAATTCAGTTTAAACATGATTTGGCCAGCTGTGTATTGCTGATTGTGTTCCAAACTGGTGCATTACAGGATTTCCCCCACCTCCCCTTCCTCCTCCCTGTTAGCAAAGCTCTTCTTTGACCCAGCTCTACCATTCTTTCATTAGCTCAAGCCTGTCCCATCATATTTTAAAGAGAGCCATTTGGATTTTTCTACTGTGTGGATGGGAGAGAAGCTAAAGTTAGGGAAATGCATAAATTCTTCCCTTAGATTGTCCTGCAGTAAAGCTCTAAGCACAAGACTTCTTACAAGCCACGGTATTAAGCTAGCAAGAGTTTGGTTATTAAGGTAGCATAAATTGCAAAGTATGGAGTTATTTTGTTGTTGCTAATCTGAAGATTGGAAATAATTCATGAAGACAGCCATAGGGAAGAATTTGTGAGTAGGACTGAGTATGAAGTTGAAATAGTCTTTGCTGACTAATGTCTAATATTTACCAGGTGCGAAGATCCCAGAATTCCTATCCCAAAATATTAAAGTAAACTATTAATTCTGAAAGTGGAAGCTCAATCTATATGGGTTGTATTAAATCAGAGAATACTAGAATGCAATTTGAGTTAAAGCTAGAGTTGAGATTATGAGAGATTTACTTTATGAAAATTGCCACTTGCGATGGTGTTAATGAGCTATTGCCTTTACAAATATGCTTTTCATTTGCATTTGAGTTTCTGTAATAAATTTTGTTTTAAGAATGTATATACTGCTTGTTCCAGTAACAACTGTTGGATTGTATTAAAAATCAATTAAAACAGTAGTTAAATGATACAACAAATGAATGTATAACATTGATAAGAAAACATTAACATTCCTATAAGAATGGGTAGGAATGGAATTCTCCTCCCAGATGTTGATAATTTGTTCCACTGGTTGGGCCCCACTGTGGAAACTACTGAATTCATTCTTGTCAAACAAATCTGAGTACCTAAATACAAGTACCTATTAATGACCTAATTGTGCAGGAGAGACTGTACAAGAATAGGCATTTCTATAAGTGCTTGAGATTGGACATAAACCATTTTATTTATTGTAATGCATGCAGCATTTCCAAATCTGAGAGGCTCCTGTGATGATGTGTCATGGGTGTAGTTATGCAGTCTACAAGTTGTAGCATAGCTGTATTAAATGAACTTCCATTTCTCCAGAACGACGATTGGAGTAACAATTTTGATTTATGGAGTAACAACATGCATAAGCACCATTCCTGTTCCTTCTTTGAAGTACTTGAAACAGTAGAAAGATTTTAGATTAATGAGACTTTTTAAAACACACAAGGATATTGTAAACATTTAAAATATCGTCTTCATCAATATTCCTGCAAAATTTGAAGGAAAAAGGGTAGAAAAACTAGGAAGTTTATGGTAAAGACATAACATTAAGGACATAACACAAAACATTAGATTTTGCAGCCTGATTCAAATAGATGAAACCATCTTAGATGAAAAAAAAACTTTTGGATCATAAGACTGAAAGATCCAGTATGCAAGATCCACACTGCTATAGAAATTGAATAGTATTATTATCTGAATCCTGTGAAATTACATACACAGGACCAATACTTTTTGAAGAAAAAATTGTGAAGAAAGGACCATAGGTAGTTCTTGTCTTATCAACCATTCGTTTAGTGACTATTTGAAGTTACAACTGCACTGAAAAAAGTGCAGTCCTCAAACTTATGACCATTGTATCATCCTTGTGGTCATGTGATGAAAACTCAGAAGCTTAGCAAATAGCATTTATCTACAATGATTGCAGCATTCTGGGATCATGTGATCACCATTTGTAACCTTCCCAGCCAGCTTCCAGCAAACAAATAAAGTCAGTGATGGAAATTAGATTTGCTAATGATTGCATCATTCATTCAACAACTGCAGTTATTCACTTAACAACTATGGCAAAAAAGGTTTTAGAGCATAAGTCACTTAACTATCTTGTTTCTGATTCCCATAATGCAACAACTACCTGTATCTCTCTTTTTTAAATTTGTGGTATATTGTTAACATGCTGCCTAGTTCATTTTTTATTTAACATAACTTTGGTTGTGATTGATGAAAGAAACTGCAGTACATTTTATTATTTGTATCATGTTCTTCTTGCAGAGTGTTTAAGAAAGCAAATGTTTTGGAAGAAGAGGTATCACGGAATTTAATCACTTATCAGAGATCAGTGGTTATTACATTTCCTTGTGTAATCTCTTGGTTTGGATAATAAGACTATAACATACAAATGGGTATAGATGCAAATTCAGGTATATAAGTAGGCCGAGATCTATGGCTTTTGGAAGCTATTCATATGACTGAATTGTGGTTGTGGCAAAAATGCTGAGAACTGAACTGAGTGGCATTACAATAGATGTAGATTGCATTGTTGTAAGTTGACAAAACATTATATCACACACACATAAATGCTTTATGATTACACTATGATTACACTAGCAAAATTATAAGTGGTATGCTCATGTGGTGCACCCATTGTGCTGTGTGGGGGAGGGAATTCTGAAAGCACGTATTGGAAAGTATCTACTTCTCAGGCTAATAAAATATTTTTAATTTCCCCTCTCCTTTTAAATTCATAATAGACATTTTCTTGCATTTACTATTTTCAATTCGATGCCGTTTGGTCATGAAAAAAGTATATTTTAGAACTTGCTGATAGAAGGATACAATTGCTATTTTAAAGACTTGTTCTATACAATATTAGTTGAATGGATTAGTTGCCCCAAGCCCATTATTTACAGTTGGTTAAATATTTTAATTCAATCCTGTACCTCGGTGAATTCTGTCAAATGGCTTAGTTCGGCTGTGAAAATCAGATTGTCAAGGAGTTATAATTGCAAAATAGGCCTATGAGTGTTGGAAATAACTGAAGGGGCGGGTAGTCAGGTTTTTGGTCTCTGTATTTCTGTGTTTGCCAAGCTCCCCCTCTGCCAATTATACTCAAGTGGATCAGAATGGAATTTATTGTGGATACAGATCCATCTTATTGTGACAATTCAACCATCTAGTGAATGTATCCTTTTTATTTCTCCACTTCCTTTTTGAATTAGAAAGATTTTAAAATAGAAATATTTTTCTTTCACCTCACTGAAGGCATTGGAAATTATAAAAGTGAAATTTTGGAACTTTTGCTGTGAGCTGGTTAGAAGGGAAAGCTCTGTCCAATGTTGTGAGTTCATGATGTATGCTTCTGAAATTCACTACTGATTTTGAAATTCTCCTACTTCAAAACTTGTTGCTTTCCATGTTTTGGTAGGATGACATGAATTATCAGCCACTGGAGATTGCCATTCCAAAATAACCAACTAGGAAAATTTTGCTGTCTGCATAATATAAAACTGAAAGTCTCTGCTTTTAATCACTGATCATGTTTCATATGTGCAGGAGATCATGAAGATGGGGAAGAGAATGAAACACCTGCTGCTTCTGACAGTCTGTCTCTAGCGTCTGACCATTACGATAAAGAGGATGAAGGCCCTTCTGATGGTGAGTGATTTTTCAAGAACTTATCCTGAATAATTGTAATATTGTTGATAGTTTGGTTGGTTTCTAATGAACTGCATAAGAAGATTTGAAACCAGGATAATTTGAGAACAGTAAATTCTCAGAAAGCTTAAGGCCCTGAAAAGTTTCTTACATTTTCAAGCTTGTTAAGGAACTGAAGAGCACTCTCTAGTGGCAGAAAAAGCATGGTGAAATAATAATATTTGAAATGATATGCTTGCTTGTTCTGTTTTATAATTAAAACATGTTCCTTAGATGTTCTTCATAAGCAGAGAAATCAGTGACTGAAATAACTTTCTTCTTCTTGCAAATATAAACTGGGTTAAGTCCTTAAAAGATTAAATAATTTGTTCTTAAAGTGTTTTTCCAATTAATAAGTTAGTGTGTACTTATTGAACAATTACTTTTTAAAATCTAAACACTTTTCACACTGTTTTTAAAATAAAAAACATAATCAGTTATAGTTTTATTTTAAGGGAAAAATGATACAGAGAACCATGGCTTACTATCTGTTACAAATGAGAATTGAACAATGATAAATCACACATACATATAATTATCAATTTATATGAATTTGCTCAAAAATTTAGACTGGCAAATGAGAGCTGTCGGGGGAAGTTGTGGTTTGCCATTTAAACTGATCAAAATGTGTAACTCTGTTTCAATTTTTGAATAAAAATACGCATTTTACAGCATGATATGCTACATTTTACATTAATCAGATTATTCCCTTTGGAATCATATATTGTATTTGTGAGATAGAAAATTATGCTTATTGCAGCATAGGGATAACTCAGAGTGATAAACCTTCCAATAGCCAAGCAAGCAGGATATTTACATTCTTCAAATTCGGTAGATTGTATAATGTTAACAATAAAACTTTTCCTGTTTAAATCCACCTTTTTATATTCTAAGAGTCAGTTAAATATCAGGAATAAAATAGCCTTTTAAGTTTTTTAAAAAAATAAATGTATTTATTGGTATAATAGATTAGATAGAGTTAGACTTATTTTTCCCAGAAGACATTAAATAGAATATAAACCTTTGTCTTTATCTGACAAATCTGGTGCTTATGTTCCATTCCCATGTTTTATGGCAGTGGACACATTCAACACATTGAATACATATACAAAGAAGCAAGCATGAGAAATGATTTTTTCTTGTTTGTTTGAGACAAAAAAATTGACAACTGCTTTTGTTTATGAAAGTAAAAAATCAATTGCTGAACAATTGTTGAAGCCTAAGACTTAAGCCTTACCAATACAAATGCATTAACTATTAATTTTAAGAAGCTTCTAAATACTATTATTAAACTATGTTAATTATATTAATTTGAATATTTTACAAGGTCTTTCATTTTGTAAAAAAATCAAGATTACTTATATTAACAAAATGCCTATTGAACAAGACAACAATCTTAAACTATTAAGTAGAAATAGAAATAAATGTTGAACAGAAAGATAAAGTTATCCATAATTAATTTGGAAAAGTAAAATATTTTTTTCCAAGCATCTCATACAATGTAGGCCCCAGGCAAGCATTAGCAAAATTATATGAATACTTCTTGCACAGATCCTATAAAGTTAATGGAATTTCCCTGAAGAGTATAATATTTAGGCTATTTATTTTTCTCCCACACCTCATAAATATTGATATTTAATCTTTATATAAGTTTTTACTGATGTCTGTCCAATAAATCACTAAGGTGTCTCTTAGTAGACAAATGAATTCTATTTATAGCAAGGACTGTTCAGAAATAAATCCCCTTGAATACAATGGATATGTGGGTTTAAGATTAATTCTTTAATGCAGTTCTCCTTTTCCCTCAATTAAATACCTTGAGGAAATTCACATTTTAACCATGTAAACCCTCTTTTGAATATATTAGTGGAACCTTGGCAGATCCTTTATGAAAGCATATACTTTCTCATGTACCAAATACTTAAAATTTAGAGTTCCAAGTATTACATTTATAAGTTATGTGGAAACATAGATTAGTGATCTGTGTAGCCAGATAAAAGTGATGGACACTGTTGTTTTAAATAGAAGCTTAGAAATTATAAGCAGTCAGTGGCATCCTTGATTAAAATATCTCTTATTTTTAGAGAAATCTTTCAGCAGTATTTTTAAGACCATGTCATAAATAAATATATTTTAGTTAATTGTTAATTTTTAAATTAACCATTTTTTTCACAAGATATAAAGATTGTATAAACAAACATCTTTGTTTATAACTGTAGAGCTCTGTATATAGATAGATAGATAGATATTTCAAATTTATAATGTAGGCCATCTAACAAAATAAGTGATTTTGATAGGTGGTCAACAAACTTTAAAAAAATTACAAATAATAATTATTAATATTATTAAAACATTAAAAGGTATAAAAACCCAGCTTACAACAATCATCAGATAGTATTTTATTGAAAGATCATTTTGACCATCAGTGAAATTAAATGGGGCAGGCTCTCAAATTTCTTTTCTATCAAACTGGTAACTGATGTGTCTTTTTTATTGTGGTTCCCCCAGAGTACATGAGTTAAAATTCCAAATTTTGGGGGAATATAAAGTTGAACAATGGATGTGCTTTTTAGAATAATATTAATGCCAGTTCTGAAAAAGTAGGTTTTTGACATATACATCTTTATATACATTTTAAAGTCTGTGACTGGCTCCCATTCCTTGTCTTTTAACAAATTATTTATTTGCCGCTTCCCTCCCTAGTTCAAAAGTCCATTCAATTCCCCAATGGCTACCTAATTTTCCTGTTATTCCCCTCAAGCCAAACGTGTTTTGGTTTCTTTATGATTTATTAGATACTGTAGAAAAGATGCATAAGTTATATCTTCTAATGAAATTCAAGCACACCTCAATAATGCTCAGACTCAGTTGTCAGCAGCAATTAAATTTCTAGCAGGAAAAATAATACAGAGGCCCAGTTGTGGTACAGAACTGAAAATAGAAAGAAGCTGCGAAGGTGAGAAAAACAGTTGTGAAGAAGCCACAAAATAAAACAAGATGTTCAATTCTTGGCCAGAATACAGTTCCTGCCTGGCTCTTCTTTTATTGGCTAATGGTTTGATTGATAGGAAAATCATAACTTGCTATATGCTAACAAGCAGAGTTCACTTGTAGGTTATTATAAACTGATAAAGACTGAGATGGAGGTTTGATTTTCACACTGGACCCGGCTGCACCAGATTAATGGAATTACAATGAGAAACTGGACTAGTTGCAGCTTTGTCAGAAAAACTGATGGAGATTCTATAGTCACGACTGCTCATTAATACAAGTTGTCTGAAAGGTGTAGAGACTTCTCTGTACAAAAGGCTCAGGATAACTGATTTTTGAATAGGATTTTATTTATTTATTTCTTGTAAAACAAATGATGGCCTCTTCTATATACAAGTGTTGCACATTTGTTAATATATTTGTGGCAAAAAGTAGGCCTTGACTTGACAATGTTCACTCTTGATAGAGTTGGAAATCAGAGGAACAAGGAGCATATTGTTTTGTATATAAATCTTACATGGCAAATGTTGCTGATTTTAAGAGACTTTTTTAAAAAGTTGAAATGTGAACTATTTGCAATGTTCGATATTAATCATACTACAATGCCATGATGCATTTACATCTCAACACCATACTATAATATAGTAGGATGGAATATTATTTCAAGAGTTTTCAAGACAGCAGTATCTTCTTATTCATTTTTCTACTTTTCACTATGTTAGCTTTGAAAAAAATGTTAATTTTTGAAATATTTGTGTGTAAGCCTCCATGTAAGTCAGATGATAATAATTATACCATGATTCAGTCATGAATCTTATATATTTATATGATTTCATGAATAAAATTAGTACCAGAAATTGCATGGCTATTAGAATGCAAAGTTCAGCCATGTACTTTGGAATGTTCAGATGTATGTGTTGGCATACAAATGAAAGAAAATCAATCTTTCTTCACCCCACATAGTAGATAGTACAATGACTTACTTCCAAGACTGATGGAATAGTGAAGGGGCTACCTGACAAGGAGCAGTAAACAGAGATGCAAGAAAGTAGATTTAAATAGCCCTGAATTATTTTTGCTACTTTGTAGGAAGTTTTTATTATGTATGAGTGGAGTAGAAATAGGACTACATGTCAAAAGATTAAAGAATTCATCCTTTTGATGGAATTTCTTTCTCCTTCACCAGTTTCTCCCTTTGTTCTGGTGCAACTTCGGCACAGACATCTTTCTCTGGTTATAGACCTCAAAACATTTTTTTTTACTATGTATTTAGAGTTATATTGTGCCATTATTTATTTACTCATAGGAATATAGGTAAGTGATAATAAAATCAGTTAATAGGTAAAATTTATGGTAGCCTACCATGTCAACTTGATTCCTCATCTTTAAGATTTCAAACAACTTAACTTTACCAGACCTAGTGGGGGGTGAAGATTTTGTGATTCATTCTGAAATGAATTTTGGTATGAATCAAAACTTGTCTCTTTTTGTTTGAAGCTTAGTATGCTAATAAGTAATTTAGTGATTTAGGATTTAAAGTAAACTCTTTAACCTGAGTTCAGAAATGGAAAATGGACATTGAACATTTGCCAGTCAGGGTTGTTGCCTGATGGTGGCATGCTAAGAACAAAATGAAATCCATGCTTTATGAAAAAACGGTTATGACGTATGACTTACATGTTCTTCATTAAAGTTTGCAGATCACATTAAAAGTAAAATGATGTGTTTGCTCTACGAACTTGTTTCAGTTAAACATTTTTAAAGGGTTTGGAAAGTTTGGAAGGAAAGATTGTAGTTATTAAGCTATAAATATATTTCAGTTAGAAAAAGCTGTACAGTGCATTTATAAGAAATAGTGTGTATTTTAAAAAGTTAATTAAAATAATTTTACCTCACATTTTTATACTGAAACAAGAATTCTGATATGGCAAACAGCTGTTTCAGGATAATCAATAAAAAATCAAATGACA